GCTGGGAGCCAAGACCTTATGCAACTCCTGAGCTCCTGAGCAGGGATAATCCCCGGGGCTGAGGAGGAAGTGCACACAAATCCTGTGTGAGCCACGACCCTGAGGGGCTCCTTGGGAAAACACAGAGCAGGGGAAGGTGCGTGTCCCCTCTGGGATCCCTCCTGTCCCCAAGAGCTCTCCCAGCTGGGCAGGGCAGCAGAGGGGACGGGTCCAGCAGTGGCACAAGCCCCATCCAGGAGCAATTTCTGCACAACAGAACCCAGTCGTGTTGGAACACAGTGAATTAACCTTCCACAGCCAAGACAGGTCTGACCACAGCAAGCAGGACCATCCTCCTCCTCCTCCTGCATGGGGCAGCCATGCAGGGACACTGAGTGCCTCTTCCCCAGGGCGTGGGGGGTGCTGGATCTCCACATCTGCAGTCCCCACAGGGAGCCCCACAGGGGATGGGAGGGAGTGGGAAGAGCCCCGGGGTCTTCACTGGGGTCCCCCAAGTCTGCTCCCCCCTGTGCCTGCAGTCTGGCACCTCAGGGATGCTGGAGGACCCTACTCGGGGGCAGGGGGGCTGTATTTGGGAGCTGCCCCCCAGCCTTGGCCCAGCTCACTCCCTGGGGCTCACCCCATCCCACCTCCCGGGATAACTGGGCCGGCAGTGCCCGGGCGAGACATCCCGGCACCGCGGCAGCTCCTGGGGCAGGAACACGAGACAGAGGCTCCTTTATCTGTGTTTGCCCAGCAAAGCCGGGCAGGAGCCACCTCATCCAAGGCCAGTACCCGGCTGGAGCCACCAAGGATCCTCCTCTGCAAGGCCAGTGGCTTCTCCCAGGGAGAGGGGGAGGCTTGGGACAACAGCCCTCAGTGCCACCGAGATGACACGGGAGATACAAAGTCCAGCTGCCAGCAGGACCCTGACCCAGGGATTCCTGATCCAAGTCCCACTGGGATCTTGGGGCAGGTTGGACAGACAGACAGACAGACAGAGCTGGGACTTACAGAAATCTCACATGTGGCTTCGGTTCCATTTTTACTGAGCAGAATGAAAAATTATCCTTCTGAGGCAAGTAGAAAATTCAGGAATGATTAGTCCAAGGCACATATTCTAAAAAAATCTCTTTACATATGTACAACTCCATCAATTATAAATACACATAGAAACCAAAGGCAAACAACAAGCAGATTAAAAAGTGCCAACAAAAAGGTATCAGGGAAGAAAACAGGGACTCATTAAAAATACAATCAGTAGGACAACGGCAGAATAATTTAGTTAAAAGATAATGTTACATATTATTAACCCTGACAAAACACAGGATTGGGGCAGGGAAGGGATTCCTTGAAGGTGCTCTCTGTCTTCCCAGAGACCAGGGAGGGAGGATTGCATATATTTTAAGGTTAAGGTCAAAGCCACCAGGTAAGGCTCCGGTGATGGAGGGTGCCCAGCGGGGAGTTCCCCCTCGTTATTCCTGAGTTTCAGCCTCTGAGCTGCGTTTTCCTGGCGTCTTTTTCCCTCCTTGCTGAGAATTCAGCCCCGGGCCAGATGCAGGAGGTGCAGCCGGGGCCTCTCTGCCATGGGGAGGGCTGGGACGTGCTTTAAATAGGGGAGGGTCTGGGGAGGGGCAGCCTGGCTCTGCCCGGCCCCGGGGACGCTGCTGCGGGCGGGAGGAGCAGAGCTGGGGGAGAGCAGGAGCCCCCCGGGGCAGCAGCAGGGCATGGGGGGCTCCCCCCATCTTTGGTGATCACTTTGAGGTAAAGGAGGTTTCCTTGGGTGCAGTGAGATGTGCCCCTGACAGCAGGGACTGACTCCAGCCCAACGGGTGGTGGGAGGCAGGTGCCAGCTGGGGAGGGGGAAGGACAGGGACCAGAGTAACCCCAAACTGAGCCACACGTGTGGCACGGGGCAGGTCCGTGACCTCGGGGTGTCAGGGAAGGCAGCTCCTGCCTCGGGCACAGCACAACACTCCAGACACAGACCCAGAGCAACTCCCAACACCTCACAGAGCCCTGGGGGGACACGGCAGGTCCCAGCACTCTGCCCAGAGGAGGGGACACTGCCAGGCACTTGCAACGCTGACCTCTCAGGCACGGGGGACCCCAGCCCAGGCCTTCCTGGCTGGACCCCAGGGAAGGTCCCAGGTCTTTCCCTGGAAACATCCCAGTGCCACTTTTAGGAAACACCTCGATGAGTGACAGCAGAGAAAGGAAACCCATCAAAGGGAGGCTGGCAGAGGAGCAGCTCAGGGGAGGTGCTGGAGGTGGCCAAGGGCCATCTCTGTCCCAGGAGGAGGCAGCTGGTCCAGCTGTGGGACAGGGGATGGGGCAGTGCTTGCAAAACAGCCTTTGCTTTTTGGTATCCGAGAGCGAGGTTGCAGCAGGAGCAGCCAAACTGTGCATCCCAGGCAGTGACACAGACACTGCACACCCTGAGCAGTGACACTGACCCTGCCCACCCTGAGCAGTGACCCTGCACACCCTGAACAGTGACCCTGCACACCCTGGGCAGTGACCCTGCACACCCTGGGCAGTGACTCTCACAGTGCACATCCCTGAGCAGTGACCCTGACACTGCACACCCTGAGCAGTGACTCCCAGGCTGCACACTCACCACTCACAAGGGAGCTCTTCCCTTTCAGGGCCTGGGAGTGGCTGTTCCCAAGGTCAGCAGTGGCCAGGGCTGGGCTGCCCAGTCCCAGACCCTCGGGCCGGGGTCCATGGCCCAGCCAAGGACAGTGCAGGACCAGCAGGACAGCCAGGTGAAGGGACATGTGACAGCAGGAGACTGGCCAAAGCATGGCTGGTCACGGCGACCCGGCGAGGTTAAAGTGCAGGACAGGGGACATGGCCCTTCTGCTCTGGGGAATCCCGCTGGTCCTGGCCTGGCTGAGCTCTGACAGACTCGAGCTCTGTCACCGTGGGGGTGCATCCAGCTCCAGCCTCTCCCACGGAGCTCAGCAGCCCAAGGTTCCTTCCCAGGAAGGGAAGGGCAGTGCAGGCAGTTTTGGGTCTCTCAGTACACCGGCTCAGCCCTACCCGAGGACAGCTGAGCTCAGCAGCTCCCAACTCTGTTGGGACAGCATTCCCTTGCCCTTCATCCCAGCCCTCCAGCACAGGCTGGGGCAGCCCAAACTGGGGGCCTGGGCTCCCCCCCTTCCCTAATGGACCAGCACCAGTCACCCGGCTGTGGCCCCACAGAGCTGGGCTGGAGGGCTGGGCAAGGCCTGGCCTGGCTCGGACACTCAGTAGTCTGTGGGGGTGGGCAGAGGAGGGGGGTCTCCCCTCAGTCCCACACAGGCACTGACCTGTGAGCAGGACTGGACACAGCAGAGCCCCCCGGCCCAGCGGGACCCGCTCGGTTTCCCCCAGGCACGTTCCACCCAAACCTGTTTCCTCCCTCCAAACCACAAAAGGGTCAGTCCAAACGGGCAGGACATTCAGGGCTCCTCAGCTCTCACCTGTGCCCCAGAGGACGCGGATCCACGTTGGCCGAGCTCCGCTGGCATTCCCGGCTGGCACTCAGAACTCCAGGTGCGGCCCGCTGAACTGGATCACGCTCTGGCGCTCCTGGGGGAGCAGGTTCTCCTGGGGGAACGTCCTCAGCATGTCCTCCAGGATCTCTCTAAAATTGATACTCCCATCTTGCTGGAGAAAATCCTCCTGTGGCTGCTGCAGGGGGGGGCGGGGGCGTGCTGGGGGTCGGGCCGTGAGGGCGCGGGCCACACCCACCCTCCAGGCCAAAGCAAAAGGGCAACTGGTGCTGCTGGTGGGGCTGCAGGGGGGGCTCTGAGGGGAAGCACAGTGCTCCGGGCTCCGAGTTCATCACCACGTCGGGAATGCTGCTGCTGGGAGGGCTGCAGGTCAAGTCCAGGATCTCGTCCTGGCACAGGGAGGGCAAGGACAGCGGTAGCCTGGGCCCTGGCAGGAGGTGCAGGGGCAGGGAGAAGGGTGGGCCCTGCTCCCGGGCCTGGAGCAGCCGGCTGTGCTTCCGCTTCACGTCCTGGTCCATCTGCTTCAGCTCCTCCCGCACCCTGTGGACGCAGCTCTCGGGGATCTTTATCCCTGGGGGAGGAGCAGACATCAGTCCCCACAGCAGGGAAGGGATGGGGCGCTCTGGGGACAGAGGGAAGGGCAGCAGCACCGGGGGTGTTCACATGGGCACTGAGGGGACAGGCCTGGCTCACCCCCTCTGCCTGGACACATCGGGGTAACCCCAGCTCCCCTCCTTCCCACGGGGTCACCTCAGCAGCGGGCGCTTCCAGCCCGGAACACGTCCCTTTTTAGGAAGGGACTCTTGGTGCTGGGCAGCTGGACCCCTTCATCCCACTCCCCCTCCCCTCCCCAGCACTTCACCCACCAACTTGCTTCTTCTTCTCCTTGGTTTTGAGGCGGACGATCTGCAGGTAGCTGCTGGCGGTGATGTCGGCCATGATGCCGGCGATCCTGCTCCACACCCGCAGCAGGGCCCCGCACAGCATGTAGTAGTGCCGCAGGCGCATGCCCTGGAAGCACTCCTTCCCCTCCTGGATCAGCTTGCAGCTCTTGTTCCTTCGGTTACCATGGGAGAAAACCACCAGGATTAGCACAGGAGCACAGCGGCTTTCCCCCCCCGGCCTCCCCCAGTGCCACAGCCAGGGACCCCCCAGCACAGGCCCTGCCTGGGGAGGGAGGACGTGGCTCAATGACTTTAAACTGAAAGAGGGGAGATTTAGATGGGATATTGGGAAGAAACTCCTCCCTGTGAGGGTGGTGAGGCCCTGGCCCAGGTTTCCCAGAGAAGCTGTGGCTGCCCCATCCCTGGCAGTGCTCAAGGCCAGGTTGGAGAGGGCTTGGAGCAACCTGGGGTAGTGGAAGGTGTCCCTGCCATGGAACTGAATGGGCTTTATTTAAGGTGCCTTCCAACCCAAACCACGCTGGGATTCTGTGGCAGGCTGGGGCTGCAGCTGCCTTACCACAGGGCGTGGTTACAGTTCTTCAAGGAGAAGTGGTAGCTGCTCTCCCAGTGCTCCTTGGCTTCCTCGGGCATCACCTGCAGCACAACACTCAGCATTAGGGACCTTCCACTGCCCAACACCCAGCGAAATCCGGGGCTGGGAGTCAGGACACACCAGTGCTCCCACCATCCCTGCCCAACCACAACAGCACCCTGAGGAGCTGTGATGGGTTAGAGGGAATGTCCTTCCAACCTCCCCCGGCCCACAGCCCCCACAGCAGAGGCGGCAGCTCCCACCCACCCGCCGGTACTTCTTCTGCAGACTGTCCAGGCTCTCGGGCTGGCTTTGCTTCCCAATATTTGGCTTGTAGAGGATGAAGTTCTTCCCACGGCTCTGCTCTGCCAGCAGACAGGTGTATTTGCTGCCTCGCATCTGTGGGGTACAGCTGATGGTTACAGTCACAGCCTCTCTCCCCAAGCCCAGGTTTCTCTAAAGTAACCCCTTCCTTCAAGGATGGAGGTTCTTGGAGGCATCTTCCAGCCCTCAGGAAGAGGTCAGACATGGAGCCTGTAGAGCCATGGCAGATCTCCCACTGGAGCCACCCCTGAGCTGAGGTGCCACCCTGGCAGAGCCCAGGGACATACCTTGTAGGAGAGGTAGAACCCTTCATTGGCTCCTGTCAGTTTGAGTGACTTCTCATAAGCTTCTTCCCACTTTAAGCCTCTGTCGACGCTGATCTGAACAGGGACACACAGAGGGATTTGTAACTCCAGGGACAGGACAAGTGCATCACAAATCCCACCCTCAGCACAACCTTGGTGCTGCTGCAGCCTAGAGCCAGCAGAGACAGGTGCCCACCTTGTAGAACACGACCTGCCCGTCCTGCGGGTGCCCCGGGGTCAGGAAGACCTCCTTGCTCTCCTCATAGATCTCATCCACTCCTGGCGCTAAATCTGAGGAAGGAGAAAAGGCTGCTCTAAGGAAAACCCAGCCAAACCACCTCCTTGGGTCTCAGGATCTGTGCTGGGTGGGGAGGCTGCAGTGGGGAACCACCCTCAGTCAGCACAGGAGGAACAGGGAACCCTGGGGTGCAGGAGGCAGAGCTGTGGCCACCCCCTCTCCATACCAAGGATGCCCATGTCGTATTTGCCCTCCTTCTTGTCCTTCTCAATCAGATAGTCAAAGGTGTCAGAAAAATACTGGAAGAGCATGTTCTGCTTGTCCACCTCCAGGCCCAGGATGCGGTTCAGGAATTTGGTGATGGAGCAGTCTGCAAGAGCACAGCGGGTCAGGGACATGGTGCAGCTGGGCACAGAATCCACCAGCCCCCCCAAAGAGCCCCTCAACCAGCCCCCCAATGTCCCTTCCAACAGCAGCACAGCCCAAGGGCTGTTCCTGTGGGCTGGGAGCAGCTTCAGGGCCATGGGATGTGTGGGGCCATGGGATCTGCAGCACAGGCTGCTCCCACAGGACCTTCCCTTCAAGACAAACATCCTGCCCAGCTGCCCAGCAAACCTCACAAGGCTGGGTGGGCCATGACACCCCTGCCCCTTCTGTCTGCCCCCTGCTTTGGGCAGGAACAGCTCGACACGTACCCTTCTCCACCGAGACAGTGCCATACTTCATCTGACTGCAGCAGATCCCCACAGAGATGAGCCCTTGCTTCATTTCTGAAATGGCAGAAGACACTTGGTGTGTTTTGGGGTTAAGCCTCCCCTCAGCAGTCCTGTGGTGCTGCTTCCCCTCCAGCAGTGCCCGTTGTTTGGCAGCTCAGCCTCCCCCTGTGCCTGGCAGGGTGACATCGCCCCACTCACAGTGAGCTGCTGAGCCAGTGGCATTTTCCTCCCTCTGTTTCCTCTCTCTGACCTTCTCCTCAGCTCTTCCAGCATCCCAGACCTGAGACTACCGTGGCCAGGAGAAACCCCAGAGCTGGTAGTGCTCTTACCACGGAAAAAGTCGGCCTCCCGTCTCTCGTAGCTCTTGGGCACAGGAACTCTGTTCTCCATGTGGCTGAGGATCGTGGACAGGACCCTGTCCAGGGCTTTGGCCCCATACTGTGGGAGGAGACGAGAGTCACACGTGGGAGGAACTGACACCAGAGTCCTCCACCCAAGCCTGGCTCCTGTGCCCGTGGGAGCTGGAGCAGCAGGGAGCTGGGGGGAGCTGGAGCAGCAGGGAGCTGGGTGCTAGACTGGGCCCTGCCTGCAGGTTCCACCAATGACCCTCCCGGCTCCAGATCCCACCAAGGGCTCTCCCAGCTCCTCCAGCCCCCGGGCCATGCTGCCCCAGGGCAGCCCTGTCACCTTGTTCTCGAAGTTGTACTTGCTGAGGTCCCGGGACTCGGTGGCCCGTCGGTCCCCGTGAGTTAAGGCACCCTGGGAAGGCAGATGGAAGAAAACACGACTTTGAGCTGTTGCAAAACACCAGGGAAGGATGGCCAAAGGCCAAAGGAAGAGGCCAGGGTGGAAATGTGCCATGGGGAGGCAGTGTTCCTCAGGGATACTGAGACTTTACCAAAGGATTGGGGGATTTATCAGAAGTGAAGAAAATGAAACAAACTCATTATTCTATTAATTATTTCATTAGCTTTTTGGGAATAGAATGTATGCTCTGGTAACAGTGGGGGAATTCCAGCATCTGGAATTGGGTTCTGCTTCCCTGAAATTCCTCCCAACGCCTTGATTACGTATTCTTCCTCACTTCCTTTCCCAAATCCCAGGATGCTAAAAGCCTTCTGCATTCCACAACTGCAGTGCCTTCAGTCAGGGGTGACACAATCCCCCAGTTACACTGGCCATGCCAGCATGGAACGTCCTCAGAGGGAAGTGGAGCCGACAGCCGATCCCTGCTGTGGGCACTCACCAGGCTCTCCAGGCGTTTGGCCACGATGGATGCAAACCTCCTCTCCCCTGCCAGCTCTGAGATCAGGAACACGTACTCTGGGGCAGAGACCTGGTTCGATCGGTGCGTTCGGCCTGCGGGGACACGAGAACAGGGCTGGAAGGGGAGCTTGGGACGGCCTGTCTGGAGCAGGAACATAACCAGAAAAGCCAAATAACACCCGTCCTGCTCACCCTGCAGAGTCCCTCCTCTGCCCCAGAGCTCAGGACTATAAGCCCGGCTCTGCCAAGTCTCAGCAGCAACAGGGTGTGTGGCTGTGACTGTGGCTCTGTCCCTTTCCCACAGAGACATCTCCTAAACGCACCTGCCCGGCTGTGGCAGGAGCCCAGCTCAGGCAGCCACCACCCATCCCTCCCAGGGTGCCTGGGCTCCAGGGCCTGGCTGACACTCGGGGGCAGGGGGCAGTGCCCAGGGACACCCAGCCCTCACCGAACTGCTGGATGGCCCGGTCCGCGCTCCAGGGCAGCTCCAGGGTCATGTGGACCCGGCGCTTCTGGTTCTTCACCCGTCTGTCTGCTTGGAGGGAGATCCCTGAGCTGGAGGCCTCTGAGATTATCGCTACGAGCTACAGGAGAGACAAGTGAGAACAGGGTGAGGTTCCTGGACACGTGTAAAACTGCTTCAGGAAACAGGCCCGAGCACAACAGCAACCCCGGCGCACAGAGGGGTCTGGGAATCCTCGCCAGCTTCCAGCAGGTCACACCAACAGAAAGCTGCTGGCCTGAGGCTGGCGGGGCACAGGG